GAGGGCCCTGGAGGTCCCGGGGCTCCTGGTGGGGTCCCAGGGGGTTCCCAGTGGGTCCTGGGGGGGTTCCTGGAGGTCCTGGTGAAGGCCCTGGAGGTCCCGGGGCTCCTGGTGGGGTCCCGGGGCTCCTGGTGGGGTCCCAGGGGGTTCCCAGTGGGTCCTGGGGGGGTTCCTGGAGGTCCTGGTGAGGGCCCTGGGGGTCCCGGGGTTTCTGGCGGGGGTTCCGGGAGTTCCCGGTGGGTCCTGGGGGTCCCGGGTAGGATTCTGGTGGGGTCCTGGGGGGTTTCCAGGGTTCCCGGTGGGTCCTGGGGGTCCCAGGGGCATCCCGGGGTCTCAGTGGGGGTCCCAAGGTCCCATTGGGGTTCCCGGTGGGGGTCCCGGTGGGGGTCCCAGGGTCCTATTGAGGGTCCCGGTGGGGGTCCCAGGGGCATCCCGGGGTCTGAGTGGGGGTCCCGGTGGGGGTCCCGGTGGGGGTTCCGGTGGGGTCTCATTGGGGTTCCTGGTGGGCGTCCCGGTGTGGGTCCCGGGGGGTCCCAGGGGGGTCCCGGTGGGGGTCCCAGGGTCCTATTGGGGATCCTGATGGGGGTCCCAGGGTCTCAGTGGGGGTCCCGGTGGGGGTCCCAGGGTCCCATTGGGGTTCCCGATGGGGTTCCCGGTGTGGGTCCCAGTGGGGTCCCGGTGTGGGTCCCGGTGTTCCCGGTGGGGGTCCCGGTGGGGGTCCCGGGGGGTCCCAGGGGGGTCCCGGTGTGGGTCCCGGTGTTCCCGGTGTGGGTCCCGGTGTTCCCGGGAGTCCCGGTGTTCCCGGCGCTCACCAGGTGCCGGTCCACGGCGGTGCGGTCGGGCAGCACGCTGTAGAGCTGGTGGCGCAGCAGCAGCGGCGGCAGCGCGTCCCCGAACAGGCGGCGGGGGAAGAGCGCGGCCACGGCCCCGAGAGCCGCCTCCACCGCCGCGGGGCTGCCTGCGGGCACGGCACCGTCAGATCCCGGGGAGCCCACCGGGAGAGCCGGGGAATTCACCGGGAACACCGGGAACCCGCCGGGACTCACACCAGGAACTCACCGGGAACCCCGGCACAATCCCACCGGGAGAGCCGGGGAATTCACCGGGAACACCGGGAACCCACACCAGGAACTCACCGGGAACACCGGGAACCCACCGGGAACACCGGGAACCCACCGGGAACAACGGGAACCCACCGGGAGCACCGATGGAATCCCACCGGGAACACCGGGAACCCACCGGGAACCCACCGGGAACCCACGGGGAGCACTGGGAACCCACGGAGAATACCGGGAACCCACCGGGAACAACGGGAACAACGGGAACCCACCGGGAACAACGGGAACCCACCGGGAACACTGATGGAATCCTGCCGGGAACACCGGGAACCCACTGGGAACCCACTGGGAGCACTGGGAACCCACGGAGAATACCGGGAACCCACCGGGAACCCACCGGGAACCCACTGGGAGCACCGGGAACACACTGTGAACACCGGGAACCCATCGGGAACAACGGGAACCCACCGTGAACACCGATGGAATCCCGCCAGGAACACCGGGAACCCACTGGGAACCCACTGGGAACACCGGGAACCCACGGAGAATACCGGGAACCCACCGGGAACCCCGGCAGAATCCCGCCGGGAACACCGGGAACCTACCGGGAACCTACCGGGAACCCCAGTACAATCCCACTGGGAACCCCGACAGAATCTCACCGGGACCACCGGGAACCCATCGGGAGCACCGCGGAACTCACGGGAACACACCGGGAACCCCGATACCCCACGGGGAACCCCGGGAACACACCGGGAACAGCGGGGAATTCATCGGGAACACACCGGGAACCCCGATACCCCACGGGGAACCCCGGGAACATCGGGAACGCCACCGGGAACCCCACCGGGAACACCCCGGGACCCCCAACCCCACCCGGAGCCCCGCACACCGAGGCGGGAGCCCCGCCCAGACCTCCCCCCCGGTCCCCCCCGGTGCCCCCGGTACCGTCGGGGCGCGGAGCCTCCCCCGGCAGCCCCGGGCGGCGCCGCTTGGCCTCGA